CGTGACGTTGTCTCAAAATCTCATCTCTACCATCACGCCCAATTACTTTCTTCCACTCTGGCGAATCACCGTAAACCGAAAAAATCTCGACCTAACAAACTTGTAAAGGTTGTCACCTTCAACTCTCCACGCTGAATACGACATAGGCTTTTTCTCTACCAGCCGGATCATTCTTGCTAACCAAGGATCTACAGTAGTCACCTCAGCAATAACTGGCACACTTCGGGATAGCGTATCCGGAACCACATGTTCCTTGCCCTTCCGATGCACTATATCAATATCATATTGCTGGAGCTTCAAAGCCTATCTTGTTAACCTACCACACGGGTCCTTCAACTTATTCAACCAAATAAGTGAATAATGATCGGTGACGACCGTAAACTTAGCGCCCTCAAAATATGGCCGCAATTTTCTCAACCGCCCACAGAACCGCTAGGCACTCCTTTTCGGCCGTCGAATAGTTTCGCTCGCCTTTATTCAACGATCTACTCAAATATGCTATGACCCTCGCACCGTCGTCAACCATTTGCGTTAATACCGCACCCATACCGAAATCAGACGCGTCTGTCTGGATTGTAAAAGGCCTATCATAATCCGGGCAACTCAAAACCGGAGCTGTCACCAAGCGCTCTTTCGCTTCTCTAAAACTCCTTTCACAATCTTCAGTCCAATTGAACTTTCGATTTTTCTTTGTTAAATCGGTGAGAGACCTAACTAATTCTGCAAAATCCTTTATAAATCTTCGGTACCAGGACACTGTTCCTATAAATGACCGCACTTGCTTTACGTTTTTCACCTCAATCCGAAGCATCGCCTCTACCTTCTCGGGAGACCTTTCTTGTCCACCACGTAGCCCAAATATTTCAGTTCAGGCCTACAAAAATTACATTTTTCCCTATTTAATCTAAGCCCTGCTCTAGCTAGTCTATCCAAAACGTCTTTCAAAATCTCTAAATGTTTCTCAAACTTATTTGTGACGATAATAATATCATCCAAATACACAAAAACATGAGGTTCTAACTCGGGCTCTATGACCGAATCTATAAATCTCTGCCAAGTTGCCGGTGCATTATGTAAACCGTATGGTATCCTCTTGAACTGAAATAGGCCTCGACTGCTCCTCCACCGGAATTTGCCAATAAGCGGACTTAATATCCAGACTGGACAGAAACTTGGCGTCCCTTAGCTTATCTAAGGTCGCCGACACGTATGGAAGTGGGTAACTATCTTTCTTGGTAGTTTTATTTAAAATCTACATACATAAAACCTATATGTACCGTATTTCTTCCTGATCATAACTACTGGAGACGCCCAAGGACTATCGAGCATATCCTTAATGTCTTCGTCCATACGCGACTGTATGACGGGAGACACAGGGTAATACCTCTGTTTTACTGGTTCAACTCCTGCCTTTACCCTGATCCTATGCTCGACCAAATGGGTCCGGCCTAGCCCTTCCGGCATGGCTCGGAACGCCCCAACTATTATCTGACCTAATGCCCTAGACTCTCTTTCGCCTAACTCTGAGTGGTTCACAATTGCCACCAACAGTTCTGGTTCCGGCCAAGAAAACGACCACTTCCTCCTTGATATATCCGGGATAATACCCGCCTTGGCCCAAAAATCGATGCCAAGAATTACGACTTGAGGTAACTCTGGAACCACGACTTGCTCTCTACCTCGATTGGCAACAAAACCGAACCTAACACCGAGATATGACTTCCATCCGCGAGAGTCACTCTCAAAACATTAGAAACAGAATTCACCCTAATACCATACGCGCTAAGTTTTTGCCAACCTAGCCGACCTAATATTGTTCTGGTTGCACCAGAATCCAACAAAGCCCTAAAAGCAAAACCATGGATCTTAACATCCAAATAAGGGCGTTCGTCGTGACCATCCGTCACCAACGAAAACGCTAACCTTACCTTTTCAAACTCAACACCTACATTTGCCGGCTGGGAGTTAGCAGGTTCACTAACTCGCCCTATTAGACCACCTGTCCTGCTGTCCCAGGGGTCTATCTCCCGTTTCCCGATCTGTTGTCCGACCTGACAACCCTGTCGCTCGACCGAAAATTCCCTATTTTTTCATCAGCCCTACTATCTCTAACGGGCCCTGACCTGAAGGGGTTGTGGTTTCGACCACCACTGCAATCCGTACTCGGTCTCGGGGAGCCACTCGGCTTCGCTGCACACGTCGTGCAGTCCCGCTTCATGACCCCAAGCTTACCGCAAGCGAAGCACTTTATACCCTTCCTACACTCCGTCGAAATGTGTCCAAACCGCCTACAATTAAAGCACCGGGTGTTTGACCCCGGCTTAAATCTATGGACGAGGTCCGGCTCTGCTACCGCCGCGACCTCTACACCAGCCGACACATAAGCCAAGTCAGGCTCCAATAGACCCTTGGCCTTATGACTCGGAGGAGGGACAAAAGCATCCACCGATGACCTAACCGCCTCTAGTTGCCTACCTAAAGCAACTAGTTCCGTGACTGACCCTATTGTTACCAGTCCCAACCGGGTCTGGTAGAATGGTAGGAGATTCGCCCTAATCAATCCTAGCATCCTTCTTTCAGACAGAGGCTCTTGAAGCCTACCACACATGGTATTCATAACCGCGACATATACACCTATGGACTCGTTCGCTCCCTGAGTCCTCCTAATCTCATCTAGTAAGAGATCGTTGTAGTTGGGGTGCAAAATTTCCAACTTCAACTCTCTTACCAACTCCTTCCAACTACCCAATGTTTTTCTTACCGGCCTGAACCATAATAATAAAAGTTGAGCTTGATTCACACCGCGTGCCTCACTCAACTCCTCAACCCTTTCTAAAAATGCGAAAAGCGACATTCCCACTTTTTCGCCGTCAAAGTGGACGTCCCACTTTGACAAGTTCACGGCCTTCGGAGACTCGACTGTCTCCTCGACCAGGCGTCGTATCTCCACGGGCGGGGGTACTATCGGGTTCGCACGAGTGGTACCCGAGCGCTCGACCGAGCCGATTTCATCTCCGGCTTCTTATTCGCGATAGGCACCACTCGATCTTTGCCATCGCTTTCGCTCCATGCGATGTCTTGCCCCCACCCGAAACCGGTAATATTAATTTTTCTACCTTCTCCAGTTTCGATTCGACCGCCGTCTTATCCTCGTCGAAACTGAAGGGGTAGTCCTGAAAGAGGTTTACCGAACCTCTTCGCTCAATTAACCGCGATGCCCTTAGCGACTTACGCATGGCCTCGACCGTACCGACTGCGCTAAACGATTAATCTTCATGTTAAAAATAAAAAAAATCGCAAATTCGACAAAAAAAAATTGAAACCAAAGAAATATTTATTAAAAAAAATTTTAACTATGATTAAAATTAAAGAAAAACAATCGATTACCCTAATATTCTTCGCGTTGCCCTTACTGGCACAACAAAAGACCCTATCACAAAACAACAGAAGAGCCTAGCCACACGGAACAAAAAAAATTAATAAGATAAAAAACATTTATTGTCTACTTAGACAACACAAAAATTAACCAAACGCAAAAAAATTTAATGCAACAAAAAAATATTATATTAACAAAAAAGGTAAAAACCACAAACTAACTCGCAACAACCACTACTAGCCACTTTCGGACCAGTCTCAACACAATTGACCACAAATTTTTCCTACCGGTATAATGCTCCTGTGCAATATACCGCAACAAACAAAAAAACAGAAAAACAAATATGCAAAACGGAACGGACTCACCAAATTCCTTCTCGATAGATTAGACAAATCAACTCTCCTGCGGGCCTGGGCTCAACTCCCAATCTCTTTTAACTCCTTCCACTCGTGGAATGCTCTACAAATACTGAATAAAATAAAATAGCAAATTATTATTAATAATAAAAACAACAAAACACAAAACGCCACTGCTGAAACAGAATCCCACAATTTTTAAAGGGCAACGTCTTTTGCAAAAAAAAATATATCTTTAAATATCGGGCCCCACGTTGGGCGCCAATTTGTCACTTCCACTTTTTGTAATTACAATATGTATGTGCGTATGTACATATGTATACCTACAGTGGCTGTTGGTCAAGCACCTACCAACAACCACACACGTCAAAACAAACTACCGCACAAAAAGGACATGACAAAAAAATAAAAAAGGGCCCGGCCAGCTTAGTGAAGACGGCGTGGGTCAACAGCTAAGTACACTATAAAAACCAACGGGGAGAAAAACAACACCAAGTGAATTTACTAACGCCGATATAAACAAAATCGCAAGACAACAACTTAACAGCAAAGTCGAACTACTTAAGACAATAAAACAAAATATGTTTTTGGGTGCACCCGAGGTGTGGTCCTACCGAACTGGTTACGAACCCACTCGCACTACTCCCGTGCTGCCGGGGGTAACTTTAGCACGCCTGTATGACTGGGCTCTGGGTGCGGTATGCTATAGGGATGGGTAAGGACGTAATGAGGGTGGTGACACTGTCCGCTCGACAAAGCGCAAGCAAACAATAAATACGCGAAATGATACTTATCAGTTTCTCGGTCGGGTGTGGGTACCCAACTTCGGTGCTCCTCCGGATGTTGCCGACGCCAAACTCCGGTTCCGCCACTGGAATCCACAAAAGAAACCTATTTTGCCCTGGGCTTCGACTGGCCTTAAGCAAGCCCCGACTGGCTTAAACCTTTCACTATTTTTTTACAAGGCTTCAACTGCCCTCGCCGCATTAAAGAAAAAGGCGACACCCCTTGTTGCGGAACACACCGAATGCAACCGTGCCATCAATCCATGGCTCCAGGTAATGCAACTATTTGCCAACAGATGTCACCGCCAGCGCTTGGAGTGAAAGGAAGCTTAGGCAAAACAAAGGAAATGAAAATACAAACACAAAAGAAGTTTTTTTGCGGCCAGTACGCGACAGTGGACACATTTTTATGCGGACGTGGGATTTATTTTTTCTTTTTTTTTAACAAATACTAGAATAGCGTAGTGCAGGTGGCGATAAATATTTGTAACAGGGCATTCGAGACCACAAGGAGCAGCAACATATGGAGCGTATACTTTTAAAGCATTTCCACTAGATATGAGTCAATACAATCGATTATTCGGAGTATCTAGAATACCTGGAAAAGGGAAAGATACGTTGGTACAACATAAAAAATCAAGTCATATATTGGTATTACGGAGTGGCAACTTATATTCATTAGATGTTTTGGATGAAAACGGAAATATAGAGCAGCCCAACATAATTTACGGGCGTCTGGAAGCTATTTTACGAATGGACAAGCTTAGTGGCGACTCTAGGACACCTGTTGGGGCTCTTACATCTATTAACCGAGACGATTGGGCTGAAATTCGACAATATTTAGCCAATAACGTATGCGAAGAAAACAAGCGACTACTTGAAAGAGAAGTAGATGCTGCTCTCTTTTGTTTGTGCTTAGACGCATCAGATGATCCCATGTATAGCGAAGAAAATTTTGTTTCACTTCTGAAGCATTTGTTGGCAGGAGAAGGCAAGAATCGGTATGTAGATTTTTGCATATATAATGATTTTATTATATTAGCTCTATATTAATAGCTGGTTCGATAAGTCTATCACGTTAATNTTGGAGACTTATACCACTGGGTAGGCACACACCGAATGCAACCGTGCCATCAATCCATGGCTTCAAATAATGCAACTATTTGCCGACAGATATCACTGCCAACGCTTGGAGTGAAAGGAAGCTTAGGCAAAACAAAGGAAATTAACAGACACACATAAAAGAAGTTTTTTGTTGCGGCCAGTACGCGACAATTGGATTTGTATACGTTGTAATTGATTTATTTATGATGATGAAGCTGGCGTACTTTTTCTAAAAACTAATTTTCCAGTTAAAAGATTAAATAAGGCGGCTATTTAGTTCACCTCTGATAGCATACTCAGTGAGAAATTAGGGCCAATCTGCGCTTGGAGTGAGTTCTACAACAAGGATGTTACTGAAACCGTTATAAGACTTGTAACGAGCATCTTATAGTTAAAAGCTCGCTTACTCTGCAACGAAAATAATTTCCGTCGAGGTTACAAAACTGCATTTTTTATGAGAAAGGGAAGCTCCAGGGGACTGTGCAATCAACGAATTATGTAGTAAAAGAAACATTATAAACCCAGCAAAGTTTGCAGACAACGCATGCCTCTCAAATCGGTGCAGGAGCTACTCATGAATAATTAGCCAAAAATATACTTCATCGAATGCGATTCCTGAGAGGGGTGTATTTAATTCAGAAGCTGCCACGGTTTTTGCAAATAATCACAAAATGTCGAATTAAAAAGTCCAAGTTTGGTCAAGAGAGAGAAAAGCGACATATATTTTCCCGCCTTCGTACTGGTATTCGTTTATGTGTTTTGTACTTCGTGACTACTAACTAGGAAACGCACTCATGATTAAGTCCCACAGCAGAATCCGTTGTAAAAGTATGGCTCTTGAATAAATTACTCTAACCTTTCTGACAACACAAATTGTAAGGTAGGAAGAGTTTCAATGCTCTCTTTCTCCTAATTGTCCATCAGCTTAAAGGCTACATTCATTGAAAGATGTCACCCAACACAAGCTTCCTGAGGAGCTCGACTTAAAATCAGAATGGAAAACGGCATATAAGTTGCTTTGAAGTTTCATTCCAACCTTCTGAAAATATTGTCATAAGCCCCTCTCTTCAGATTGACGATCAATATAACGTTCTTCAAATGAAAATAGCAACTGCCAAGATGGCGGCAAGTCCGTTGCTATGTAACGTTCTTCCTCATAAGAATATAAACCTTCATTTGGATAATCAGATGGCTGTGCTGGCTTTGTAAGGCTTCATGACACACTCAAGGTTAAATAAAGACAGTTGGCCATCTTCATTATAGCCTCGAATAATTCTACATTGAAGGTAATCTGTAAAACTGGTTTGCATATCGGGTAACTATGGAATCACTGCTGGCTGCAAAGTATATTGCCGATTATATTACTGATCAGGAGCCGTATATGAGTAAGTGTGTTGGTCTATAGTGTTCACCTAGCGAGATCTGAAGTTTCAAAGGCAAAGTTAATACCAGAGTGTGCGAAGCTACACTCTTCCTGATCTGTAATAGATCGTGTAAGATTTGAGAGCCTGATGTGACTGATTGGTCTAAATATAGTCAAGCTGCCAATCCAGGATCACCCAAATTGCAAGAGCTGAATTGAGGTTGGATGCGAAATCAAAACCCTATGTTCTGCTTGACTCTCTTTCTCCCTGCTTTAACGAGGCTAAGGCTCTCTTATATTGGTCATCTTTGGAGAGTCGTAATTGGTAGTAACCGTTATCCTATTTAAAGGTAGAAGAGAAATGCAAGCTTAAAGTAAGCTTCTGTTTCAGTAGCCGCTCTTCGGAGCTCATCTCCATCATCCAGGTACAAAACTGCATCTGCTTATAATTTTTTAGGAGAAGCAACGTACTCACTGAGTTAGAATTCTCTCTTAATATGCTTGCAACGTCGCTCTAACGAGAACAGTGGCTCTAAGCGAAAGACTTCGCGCTTAATCTTCCTTAAGCATTAAATGAAGAGAAATATTTTTTTAGTCAAATTAACAACCGACGACCACTAGGTTTTTTAATCAAAGTTAAAAACTACTCCGAAAATGTCATGAATTTTTCAATTTTATGGCAAGTATCTATGGCAGAGTGAACACTCCAAAGGTGAGGTCATTATCGAATTTTGCTGGATTTAAAGTTGTGCTTGAATTTAAACATAACTTCCGGTCTTCTTTGGGATGCCTACATAAGATGCTGAAGACTAGCACGTTATTCAGGAAATGTTTAAAAAAAAATCGCGAAGTCGCTAATGCAAAAATAAACCCAAGTCTTTACATGCTCCCATTCTCTTTCTCTCTCTCTATCCGAAATCTAATTCACTTCCAGTTCATTGAATTGCCATTTATTTTCCTTAATTGTCCATTAACTGAATCTCGCTGCATACATATAGGCGTTAAATGTCACTAAAGACCTAATGCAACTCTATCTATTGTGAAAAACTTTGAATTCGATTTAATACCAATAAAAATGTCTTAAAATTATTGTGAAAATATTCAAAACGAATTTATTTATTTGAAATTATCAATTGCTTCTTATACATACAAACCTATGAACAATATAGAAGCAATTAGAAGCCAATCATATGACCAAACTGAAGCTAAAACTATAAAAATGTTTTAGTACCTAAAATAAATACTTGATTGAATTCAGTTTTAAATGCAGAAATGATATTTTCTTCAAATATAAATACAACAAAATGTACGCTCTGAGGTTAAGTTCTAACAAAAATTGAAGATATATCAAAAATTGTAGTTCTTCAATTTTTGCGAAGCAAGCGCACTTTTCAATTATTGCATACTTTTAAGCGCACTATTCAAACAGCTGTTGTTCTCAAAAATCCATTTCCATTCGACATTAATAGCCTTTTGCAAACGCCATATCGCTTTTATTGACTGTGCATTTTCGCTAACATTTTTCTACTAACCAAATTTTGCTATTCTTTTGTTTTGCGAATATTTTTTTTTTTTTTTTTTTCAATTCATTTTTTACTTTCTTTCACCCTTTTTGGAATTTCCCATACTCTTCTCTATATCGAGCTTTCAACCACAATTGGCTTAAACCTATTGTTCATGCACTCAAATCACTTTAGAATTGGCTGGCTGGCAATACGCTTGCCAAAAACTCCCATTTGGCGCCAAAAGATATGCTACGAAAAATTTATTGATTTAATTTGTAACATAAAGTATATTTTTTTGGGAAGCTGTAAGCTGTGAATTCTAGATGGAAAGCACATGAGATAGAGCGATTACAACAGTGGAGCAAAAGAAAATTCCAAAACAAATTATATATTTGAAAAGAAAAAGCAAAAAAAAAAATTGAATACTCAAAAGAAAAAAATTTTAAATCAAATACCAGATATTAAAACTTAATAATTATTTATTGGAAACAGAAGAATAAAATTTATATTTTAAGAATTTAAATTTAAAAAGACAAATCAAATTAAAAAAAAAAAATAAAAAAATTTAAATGCACAAAATTTTTGGAATTCTAAATTAAAAGTTTATAACTAACATTAAAATTTCAACCTAAAAATATATAATGAAAATTTGAAAATTAAATATTAAAGATTAAAACTTAATAGCAATCCAAGAATAGAAATTAGTAATCCAAAGTCCAATAATCACAGTTCAAAAAAAATTAAAAAAGGGTAAGAAATAAATAAGCAAAACAGCATAAATATATTAAATAATTAAATTAAAAACTAAATTTAAATAAAATTCAACAGAAATTAATAGTACTTTTTTTTTTAATATGTAAGTTTAGAATTCAAAACTCAAAACTCAAAGTTCAAATTTTAAAATTCAAAATTCAAATTTTAAATTTCGAAATTCAAAAATCGCACTTCCAAATCGTATTTAACACTATGCTCTTTACTTATATGTATGTATGCTAACCTCTGCGCTCTCGCTTCTCAATCTCTTCTAACAAATCGTTGAATATATGTATGTGCTCATGCATGGCTATGTTTTGAAAAATTGGCATGTTTTTTGGATTACAAATGGTCGCCATTTAAGGCGTGATATGTGAACTAGTATATAAACCCAGTGTGTGTACTGCACTCTACCCTTTACATTCTCTTCAACGGCCTTCCACAAATGTGACCTTTTCGGCAGCCGCATGCAACATTTTGTGGCAATATTAATGACAAGCAATATTTTGCAATCGATAACAATTTTTAGCCATTTTTGTAGAGATTTTCTTTTTTTATTTTATTCATGTTAAGCTTATTTTTTTTTTTAATATTTACATACACCCCGCAAATGAAAATAAATCAAATCATATATGCCATTTCAAAAACTAAATATAGACATCAATAAATTCTTTGCTTCTTTTTAGATTTTGTTCTCGCTAATCCAAGCTTCGTCTGCATTGACTGGCACGCAAAGTAAACACCGTTATTAGTAAGAAGCGACAGCAATTAATAAAAGTTTTCCAATTAAAATTTGCTTTTCAGTTTTATTTCTCGTCGCAGTAGGCCTTCAGTAGTGTAGGCACAAGCGCTACAGCTGGCGCTTACACATCAATATATTGTCAATTTTCGCTCGCATTTAGAGTGAGAGAGAGAGCGAGGGAAAGAGAGAGAGAGGGAGAAGCTCAAATTTGATTTAACTTTTCGATAGTTTCGCTGTCAGTGCTTAGTTTACTTTTGAATTCTTTAATTGGTATTTTAAAGACAAAATTTAAATTATTTAAATATTTTTTTAATGTTTCTCCAATTCTTTCTATATAAAATACTAACGAATATATTAAAAAAAATATTAAAATATAATTAATTCAAACACAGTTCATCCTAAATGTAGGCCACTCGCTTTACCTGGTGACGTGGTTTTCACTACTTAGGATTAGACTTCGAAAAATAAATATTTATGTTGCCTACATTAAGGCGAAGCATTATAAATATTGATCTTAATATAATTTTTAAAAAAAAAGTTTTAGAATTTATTGAGTTACCAAGAATTATTTTGAAGTGGAGCCACTGAAGAGGTTGAATTCTTAGAATAGCAACTATTTTTGTCGAGAAATATTGACTACT